AATTTATGTATTTTGAACGATAAAAAATAACTGATTTACTCGCATATAACTTCGTAACATATACAAATGAACGGGCGTGACAATTGTTTAAACAAAATATTAGCTCACATTTTGCCAAAGGACACTAAAAGAGTATTCAAGTGAAACACACCTAATCGGGCAAATATTTGCGGAGATTTTATGTATCTCACAGCATACTTGGGCTAGATCAAATCGAAACTAGAGAATTCAGTAAAATTGTATCTTTTCAATAATATTTGATTGTTCCCATGACTAATTTAGTAACATTTCAGGCAATAGAGGAAGGAGATAGTAAAACGTTTATAGGAAATACGACCAGCAAAAATTTCAATTACAATATTATGGGTTTCATTATTAATTTCTGGTAATCGTGACCACTTACTTTATAAACTTTTGTTACATATTATTTGGTAATGAGTAAGATTAGTTCCCTTGTTGTGCAATTATTTTAAGAAATAACCCATTCCTTCAACCTACCTATAATGAAGAAAGTACTTCGTTTACATAACCTTTCAATAGAATATTCGGTTCAATTTTAAACTTTAATATTTGAATATCGACAAGAGTAGAATTCATCTGTGACAAAGCAAGTAAGCTCATGATTAAAAAGTATTATTAGTTTATTTCGTATATTTAAAATGCTACATACAATCAAATTTTTATACCATCCGCCATGTGTAGTATGGTGGGTACGTTAATTTCGTAATTCCATTTGCAACTCAAAATAATAATAAGTTTAGACATAATAAAGTATATAAATTCTTGATCAGCGTAAAATTCTAAGACGATTTAGCACTGTCCGTCCTCCCGTCTGTTGTATTCGCGCTAGAGTCAAAACGATTTTAGATAGGAAGCTAACATTTTGCACAGATCAGTTTTTTGTCTGCAGGCAGGTCAAGTTCGAAGGTGGGCTATATCGGTCGACGATATCGTATAGCCCCCATGTAACTGTACCCTGCGAAATGTGTTATTTTGATGATTGTATCCAAAATGTTCAATGAAATTGTCTGAAAATCCACAACAGGAGTTCCTTCTGAGTACTTTCCCCCTGGAAGAGTATTGTCTATATAGGTCCACAATAGCGTATATTCGCCATACAACGGTACCTCCCTATATTCGACATTTTTGATGATTTTAGCTTCATTTATTAATGGAATTGTCTGAAAATCCATACTAGAAGTTTTTTCTAAGCACTATACACCCTGGAAGGGAAATGCCGACTATATCGTATATAACGGTACCCCCCGATATTCAAAATTTTGACGATTTTTGAGACATTATTCAGCGGAATTGTTTCAAATTTCGAATTTAGAGTTCGTAATGGAGGTCCAGGTCTTCGTATAGGCCCCATTTATAGGTACCTCGCAATATTCGGTATTTTAACGGTTTTACGTACAATATTCACCGAAATTGTTTGAAATTTCGTATTTGAAGTTTCCTGTCCTACAGCCTGTGACAGAAAACTGTCTATGCACATTCAGGTCTTCGTATAGCCCCGATATAACGGTACCTCCGTATATTCGGAATTTCGGTGATTTTAGCTACATTATTCACCGGTTATGACAAAAGTTGCCTATGCAGGTCCATATCTTCGTATAGACCCCAATATTAAGGTTATATTCGGTAAAATAATGGTATATTATAAATTATTTATTATTTTCACTGGAATAATTTTAACAGCTGCCGGACGAGTGGTTTAGAAATGACAGCAGTCTGAAGTTGGTTGCATTTTTTATACTCTCCATGGAGTACTATGGAGGGTATATTAACTTTGTCATTCCGTTTGTAACTCCTCGAAATACTCATGTCAGACCCAACAAAGGATATATATTCTTGATCAGCGTAAAACTCTAAGTCGATTTAGCCATGCCCGTCTGTCTGTCTGTCCGTCATTCTGTCCATCTGTTTGTCTGTACGTCTGTCTGTCCGTCTCTCTGTTGGAATCACGCTATCTTTCGAACGAATTGAGATAGAAGGCTAAAATTTTGCACACGTGTTTATTTTTCCAGTAGGAAGGTTACGTTCGTAAATGGGCCATGTAGGTCCACGTCTTCGTATAGCCCCCATATAACGGTACCTTCCGATATTCGGTATTTTAATGATTTTAGCGACATTATTCACCAGAATTGTTTCAAATTACGTATTTAGAGTTCGTAATGGGAACTACAGTGTGTGACAGAAAATTGTCTATGCAGGTCCAGGTCTATATTCGGTATTTTGACGAGTTTAGGTGAGATGTCGTATTTGAAGTTCGTAATGGATGCTATAGTCTGTGACAGAAAATTGTCTATGCTGGTCCAGGTCTTCGCGCAGCTACGATATAACGGCACTCCCTATATACGATATTTTGTTGATTTTAGCTACATTATTCGCCATTTATTTCAACTTTCGAATTTGAATTATCATATTCAAATTAGGCTTATGACAAACAATGCCTATGTAGGTTCACGTCGTATAGACCCCAATATAACGGCTATATTCGGTATTTTTAAAATTTTAACAGAATTTTTTAAGGATTTTATTTTTTGAAAATTTCCAAATTTGTTACAACTGGTACATATATATATATATATATATATATATATATATATATATATATATATATATATATATATATATATATATATATATATATATATATAGTAGGGTGGAGAGTATAAAAAATGCAACCAACTTCAGACTGCTGTCATTTCTAAACCACTCGTCCGGCAGCTGTTAAAATTATTCCAGTGAAAATAATAAATAATTTATAATATACCATTATTTTACCGAATATAACCTTAATATTGGGGTCTATACGAAGATATGGACCTGCATAGGCAACTTTTGTCATAACCGGTGAATAATGTAGCTAAAATCACCGAAATTCCGAATATACGGAGGTACCGTTATATCGGGGCTATACGAAGACCTGAATGTGCATAGACAGTTTTCTGTCACAGGCTGTAGGACAGGAAACTTCAAATACGAAATTTCAAACAATTTCGGTGAATATTGTACGTAAAACCGTTAAAATACCGAATATTGCGAGGTACCTATAAATGGGGCCTATACGAAGACCTGGACCTCCATTACGAACTCTAAATTCGAAATTTGAAACAATTCCGCTGAATAATGTCTCAAAAATCGTCAAAATTTTGAATATCGGGGGGTACCGTTATATACGATATAGTCGGCATTTCCCTTCCAGGGTGTATAGTGCTTAGAAAAAACTTCTAGTATGGATTTTCAGACAATTCCATTAATAAATGAAGCTAAAATCATCAAAAATGTCGAATATAGGGAGGTACCGTTGTATGGCGAATATACGCTATTGTGGACCTATATAGACAATACTCTTCCAGGGGGAAAGTACTCAGAAGGAACTCCTGTTGTGGATTTTCAGACAATTTCATTGAACATTTTGGATACAATCATCAAAATAACACATTTCGCAGGGTACAGTTACATGGGGGCTATACGATATCGTCGACCGATATAGCCCACCTTCGAACTTGACCTGCCTGCAGACAAAAAACTGATCTGTGCAAAATGTTAGCTTCCTATCTAAAATCGTTTTGACTCTAGCGCGAATACAACAGACGGGAGGACGGACAGTGCTAAATCGTCTTAGAATTTTACGCTGATCAAGAATTTATATACTTTATTATGTCTAAACTTATTATTATTTTGAGTTGCAAATGGAATTACGAAATTAATGTACCCACCATACTACACATGGCGGATGGTATAAAAATTTGATTGTATGTAGCATTTTAAATATACGAAATAAACTAATAATACTTTTTAATCATGAGCTTACTTGCTTTGTCACAGATGAATTCTACTCTTGTCGATATTCAAATATTAAAGTTTAAAATTGAACCGAATATTCTATTGAAAGGTTATGTAAACGAAGTACTTTCTTCATTATAGGTAGGTTGAAGGAATGGGTTATTTCTTAAAATAATTGCACAACAAGGGAACTAATCTTACTCATTACCAAATAATATGTAACAAAAGTTTATAAAGTAAGTGGTCACGATTACCAGAAATTAATAATGAAACCCATAATATTGTAATTGAAATTTTTGCTGGTCGTATTTCCTATAAACGTTTTACTATCTCCTTCCTCTATTGCCTGAAATGTTACTAAATTAGTCATGGGAACAATCAAATATTATTGAAAAGATACAATTTTACTGAATTCTCTAGTTTCGATTTGATCTAGCCCAAGTATGCTGTGAGATACATAAAATCTCCGCAAATATTTGCCCGATTAGGTGTGTTTCACTTGAATACTCTTTTAGTGTCCTTTGGCAAAATGTGAGCTAATATTTTGTTTAAACAATTGTCACGCCCGTTCATTTGTATATGTTACGAAGTTATATGCGAGTAAATCAGTTATTTTTTATCGTTCAAAATACATAAATTACTTGTGGTAATGTCATATCTTTCAAAGCCTCTCAAAAACAAAAAATACCCAAAATATAAAAAAAACACACAAACCAACACATGTGTGTATTAAAATTCCCAAACATGCGAACTTCTTATTGTAAAATTTCCAAATTTGTTACAACTGGTACATATATATATATATATATATATATATATATATATATATATATATATATATATATATATATATATATATATATATATATATATATATATATTTGTTGAATAATTAAAAAATCGAAAGAGGGAAGGTAGTTTCAAATTCCCTTAAGAATTTTACTAATTTGCCCATCTATGATAGGATACTACAATATATTCGGAGAGCATAAAGTTGCCTATTCTTGACAGTCAAGATCCTACAAGTTTATTGCAATCAAGAACTCAATAAAAAATTAAAGAATTTAAATATATATAAAATATAAAATATGCAAATAAAAGTTACTTCGCTTAAAATGAAAATGGTAAGACTTGTGGGAATGTACTCAAACGTTCACGTACACTCCTCTCAATACTGTCCACCATGTGTTCAAAATCGTACTTACTTTAAATGAAAATGTCTGGTGGGTTAATCCAATAAGGCGTGTTCGGTTTTTTTTACTTCTTTTTTGGAGGGGGGGGGGGCTATTCTCTCTTGCAATTGTTTTATGTTCAGATTACGGTTTTGTGTATCTTTTTTTTGGTACTTCGTTGGTCGTATTGGTAATATTTTCTACTTCATTTCTGTTGGCAGTCACAGCTCTTGACTGTGGTGAGAGATTTCAAGGGATATCAAGAGGCAATGTTTCTCCGAGTTGAATGAGTTTGTTATACTTTATTTTTGATTTTGCTTTGTCTAATACACGATAACGTACATACATGTATGTATGCTCGTATATACGGTATTTTGAACATGACTTTATAATTTATGTAGCTATGTGTTTTTATGTAGCTATGTACGTATGTATATGAGCTTTGCTTCTTAATCAGATAATTTGGCACATAATTCTTGTCGATTCACAGAAACAAAAGTACGCACTTGATTTTAAGTTTGCACACAACGTTATTTATGTAGGTATTTACAAACATAAGGTAAATTATATCCAAAACACTCTAGTAAATAAAATACATTTGTATATGAATATCTACGACATTCCTAGGTTTTTTTTTCACTTGAGAATTTTAGTTTAGTTGTATTGTGTATAAATTGGCGAAATTATACCCAAGCATAATTTTTACAAGGCCTTTCTTTGTTTTGCTCGCTAGGCGACGACTCGGAAGACTATATGAAGGTATAGACACATTTTTTTCTGTTTTCTTGGGTCGCCCACAAGTAATGGAGCAGAATACATAATTTTTTTTCATAACTGGTCCTGTCTGCGATCGGTAACTATGTAACTGGGAACGAACGAACGAACGAACGAAGAAGGTAGGACGAAACAATTGCTGAAGAAATTGTCTGACATGGTTTATGTGGTGGTTGGTAATGGCACCCGTTTTTTGTACGAAGTTCTTTTTTTAGGAAAAACCTTGCCCCGACCGCCTCATCTAATATCTTATGTTGTTGTTAATCTGTTGCCAAAACACACTCTCACGTACAGTGTCGAGCACTTACATACATTGCAGTGTGAGTGTATGTGTGCACACGCATAAACAGAATCTTCCCGCATAGATATCCGATCCCAACACCGGTCCCGTAGAAAGGTCGTAGTAATACTGACAATCAATCGACCAGAAAGAAGTTGGTATGTACACCAAACAAAAGACGGTCGTATGCCAAGCAATAACTCTCCCGATTCAAATCAAGCCAGACAAACAATCTTTGAGAGTTTGTGAGTAAACAACAAGTAGTTGGGAGAGAATGAGAGACATGTATGCGGAAACGGTAGACTGTGGCAGCAGAATATCTCGGTGGGCACAGAGGAGGTGTTCGTGTTTATGACATGCAGCTCAATAACAGGTTTTACTGTTTAAGCCAAGGCTTCGAGAAGAGGTTTGAGATCAGCGTTCGATGTCTGTTGGCTTGCATCACAGCACAATTTGTTTTTCATGTAACTCGTTTACATTCGAGTCTCGGCAGGCTGCCACACTCCCAACACAAATACACAGACACACACAGCCAGAGGAAAACTCGTACACTGCCAAAAGAACCTACTTCAATGCATGTATGTGCACTGCGGACTAGCCCAATGTTCTTCTTCTAGCATCTACATCAAAAGCGAAAAAAGTCAATGTCCTCTCGTTGAATTTAAAGAATTTTTAAGGTATCTTTTAAACGACCAAACATTCAGCAACGAACCAGCTAATAGTTTTCTTGGTCGTTTCTTATAAATGCTCCGACAACTCGTATACGTCCATCTAAACATTCATACATGCAACAAAGATTTAAACAACAACCGCGCAATAGACAATTGTACTTTACGAAACTATATGGGAAGGATCAGTCAACTTTAAAAAAAAAAATCTCCCAGAGGATGTGATTTGCCAAGTTTTTGACAATTGTCGTGGACTATCTTAAGTGTGGTAGCAAATTTGTTTCCATACTTTATGAAATAAATTGATTCGTGCTTTTTTAATAATGTTTTCAAACAACACTCAAGGAAATACAAACAAGTCAAAAGGTTGTTAAGTTCAGCCGGGTCGAACTCTGGAAATCGGCACATTCAAATATAATTATGTTATTTATATTATTAGGACCTAGCAATGCCACAATTCAATACATTCCGTAAGCATTTAAAATACCCATTATCTGGAACTACCGTTTTACATCGACGTTTAGGCATCATTGCCCGGACCTATAATATGTATATATTCGGGTAAAATTGTATCAACTTACTTCAATCCGTTCGGAGTTATCGAGATTTTCACGGAATTTTATGAATATTTTGTAGGGAACAAAATGATTTTTTCGAGGACTTAAGAACAGAGTATATGTTAGGTTTGTTTTTATACCCTCCACCATACTATGGAGGGTGAATTAAGTTTGTCATTCCGTTTGTAGCCCCTCGAAATAGTCATGTCAGATCCAACAATGTATATACAGGGTGAGATGAAAAAACTGCAAACAATTTCAGATCGCTGTAATTTCTAAGCCACTCGTCCGACAGCTGTTAAAATTATTCCAGTGACAGCACATTATATTTTTTTACAAGCGCACAGAAGCATTTTGTTAAGAATTTTTCAGAAAAAAAGTTATTCGTGATAGAATTCAAGCGTGATAGTGTGATTTCTTTATATTTGGCTGGAAACCCCCAAAGTGGCTATAGATAGAGCACTCCAGCATTTAAATGTGAAGAAATACCGCAGAGCAATATTTAGGCAGCGTCTGACGGTTTCATTGGCCGTTTGAAGGCCATAATTCTTTCCATAGGTGACCAATTCGAACAATTCTAAAGTTATTCTAAAATTTGATGCTATTTCCGATATTTTTTGCATTCATTTAATAAAATTTAAAAAAAGTAAAAATTATGGCGTTTGACTTTGTAGCAGTTTTTATTTTATCTCACCTTGTATTATTTACCCTCTTTTAGTCAAAACCCGGTGGTTTACGTATAATGCCGGTAAGCGCCGTTATTGTAACCTTAACTGCAAATCGCGAAATCTGGGGTAATTGATGGGCATTCGATGTCCATATTCTCTGAATCCAGTTCATTGGATTTGCCAAATTTTGTAAGACGGCTAAGATCCAAGAAAAAAACTTATTACAAATTGTTTCAACAAAGACAATAAATTAGTTATATGTTGACCCAAAACATCAAATAATGGTTTGTTCCAGAACTGCAAGAATGTAAAACCTATGCAAAACGAGTAGATTCTTGCAGGTCCTGGAAGAGCATAAATTGTAACTTATATAGGGTCTTTGGCAACGATATTCTTGTTATATTTATTATATTTAAGAACATTTTCACCGAATTCGGACAAAGTTCTAAATTTGTCGAATATAAAATAGGGTTTTTATAAACTACAATAATGATGTTTTTCATGGTAATTATTAAGTTTCCAAATTTCTTCTTTTTGTATACTTAATTTGATTTAAATTTTTTTAAGGTATAGTTAACCTTCCTTATGAAAATTTATTTGAACTATATAGAATGGAATTGACTAGGTTTTCCAAATCACTATATTCTGAGATTTAAAGAAGTTTGAAATGAGACATAGGGTAAGTGTACCAGTAGTCGGCACTTTAAGGATTTTCGATTTTTCAATCTTTCAACATTCTGAGTGAAATCTTTAAATTGCAGAAAAATAAAGTTGTTCAGATTCCGTGACATAATTTCAAAAGCGAAATCTTTCAAAATAGATTTGGATATAAAGGAACTTCTAACATATTGTAGTGTTGTAGGGTATCACATGGTCGGCCTCGCACGACTATAGCCTTTGCTTACTTGTTTTAATATATTTATATTTAATGGTTAATTTTCAATTAAAGTAAAAATTAAATTAAAACAAGTAAAAAAGCCGAACTTTTAATACCCTCCACCATTTGGTACAAATTTGGTAATTTCCAAAAAATAAAATCCGTTAAAAATTCTGTTAAAATCTTAAGAATACCGAGTGCTTATACGACGACGTGGGCCTCCATAGGCATATTTTGTCATAAGTTATTACAATAATTTAAATGTGAAACTTGAACAAAAATCTGTTTATAATGTAGTTAAAATCATTAAAATACCGAATATGGGGGGGGGGGGGTACCGTTATATGGGGGCTATTCGAAAACGTGGACCTGCACAGACAATTTTCTGGCATGGACTGAAGTATCCATTACGAACTTCACATGCGAATTTTGAAACAATCCCGATAAATAATGTCGCTTAAATCATCAAAATACCGAAAATCGGGGGGTACCCTTATATGGGGGCTATACGAAGACGTGGACCTACATGGCTCATTTTTTGACTTAGGATTTAGTATCCATTACGAACTTCAAATAACAAATTTGGCTATATGAAGACGTGGACTTGCACAGACAATTTTCTGTCTTAGGATGTAGTATCCATTTCGAACTTTAAATACCAAATTTAAAACAATTCCGGTGAAAAATGTCGCTAAAATCAGTAAAATACCGAATATCGGGAGGTACCGTTATATGGGGGCTATATGAAAACGTGGAACTACATGGCCCATTTACGAACTTAACCTGCCTACTGGAAAACTAAACATGTGTGCAAAATTTTAGCCATCTATCTCAATTCATTCGAAAGATAGCGTGATTACAACAGACAGACAGACAGACGGACAGACAGACGGACAGACAGACATGGCTAAATCGTCTTAGAATTTTACGCTGATCAAGAATATATATACTTTGTTGGGTCTGACATGAGTATTTCGAGGAGTTACAAACGGAATGACAAAGTTAATATACCCTCCATAGAATGGTGGAGGGTATAAAAAGTACCTTTCTTGTATTTGGAATTTACGAATTGATCTTTTTCCTTTAGATAGCCAACATTGTTTTCGAAAATGCCACCGCTATCTAAAACGTCAAAAAGCTGATTTAAAAAATATACTTAACGTAGAAAAGTTGATCAAAAGGCACAAATAAAAGCAGCTGCAACTATTTCTATACCCTACACCACATAGTGGTAAGGGTATTATGTCTTTGTGCATTTGTTTGTAACATGGAGAAGGAAGCGTGATAGACCCATAGTTACTTTTGAGGATCTCCATAGAATCACTTTCTGTGTTGATTTATGTATGTCAGTCCGTCTGTCCGTCCGTCTGTCCATGTATTTTTGTGAACAAAATGCAGGTCGCATTCATTATCCGATTCAGATGAAATTTTCCAAACATCATTTGTTTGGCACAAGGACGAACCCTATTAAATCGGTTAAAAATTAGATATAGCTCCCATATATATCTTCGTTCGATTTGCCCGAATAATATGGAATTTTGCACAAACAACAAAATAAGTAAGCCAAATTTGATCGAAATCGGTTCAGATATAGCTATAGCTCCCATATATATTGTTCATCCGATTTGTTATTTTTGTCCTCTGCAGCCGTAATATACACTCTGTAACAACAATATTTGGTGAAATATATCAAATGCAGCTCAGAAATACCTTTGCTAAATTTTATAGAGATCGGTTCAGATTTGGATATAGCTCCCATATATGACTTCGTCCGATTTACCTTTTATTGTACACCAAACGTCTAATATTTGCCCAAATGGGATGGATTTTGGCACATGCGGCCGAATTGAGTCTAGAAGCTAGTATGCCAAATTTGGTGAAGATCGGTTCAGATATAGCTATAGCTCCCATATATATTGTTCATCCGATTTGTTGTATTTGTTACCCACAGCCGTAATATGCACTCCGTAACAACGATATTCAGAGAAATATATCAAATACAGCTCATAAATATCTTGGCCAAATTTTATCGAGATCGGTTCAGATTTGGATGTAGCTCCCATATATATCTTTATCTGATTTCTGATGATAGCGTGTATGATAAAAACTTTTAATTGTTATGTGGAGCTCTACTAGCAAAGTGGTGTAGGGTATCATAAAATCGGCCCTGTCCGACTTTAGGATTTTCTTTACTGGTTTTAAGTTATAAAATGATCTTTAGACTGTTATTTACTATTATAAAATATTTCTGATTCTGGTTTTTTACGGAAAGAGAGCGGAGAAAACTGTTGAGGTTTTCTGCTATTATTTCATTATTTGATCAATTCTATTCATAGTTCTTTAA